TTGGACGGCAGCTTATCCACCAAGTCTTCGAGCTGGGGGAAATTCTTGGGGGGACTTCCCAAGCTTACAAAGAGAACATCCATAATAGGACTCCACAAACCTATTTGGCTTCTATTGATGAGATTTGGTCCACATGACCTTTGCTGAGGTTGGAGCCTCCACCTGCCCCTATTCTGACTATGGTAATCGTGCTCCTGATACTTGAATGGTGGCCGCACACTCCAGATGTTGCTTGCCTGGCCTCTGGCCTCCTGGGTTCTGAATTCCTTTCCAGCAGTCACTGCACCTAAGCCCTGGAATACCCCTGGGTTGAATCTTCCTGATGGTGGCTATTCATGGCTCCACCTTTTCCTATCTTTTGCACCAACATTGCATCCAAGTGGTCATAATAAGAGATGAATAAAATATCTGGATGATTCAGAGGTGTGTCTGTTTGTTGAATATTTGGGGTATTACAAAACAAAACAACAACAAAAAAAAATGGGTGGCGGAGAATGAAGAAGCCAGGATACTGGACATCTGAACAACAACTGGGTTCAATGATTTGAGTGTGAGGTCCCTATTATTGGTTGAATTGGTGTCCCACCTGTAATATGTGGAATTTCTAATCTCCAGAACCTATTGTGACCTTATTTGGAAATAGAGTTTTTGTAGACGATGGAGATAAGATGGGGTTATATGGTGGGTCCAAATTCAAATGACTGATGAAAAAAAGCAATAATTTGGACACAGAGTCAGGCACATTTGGGAAGAAAGCCAGAGATGATAAAGGCAGAGACTGAAGTGATGCTTCTAGAAACCAAGAACATCAAGGATTGTCCACAAAACACCAAAAGCCAGGAAAGAGGCCTGGAACAGATTCTACCTCTCAGCCCTCGGAAGGAACCAACCCTACCGACACTTTGATTTCCAACTTCTAACCTCTAGAACTGTGAGATAAAAACTTTATTATTTTAAGATTTAAGTTAAGTAAAAGGGAGAGGAAGAATAAGAAGGAGGAGGAGGAGGAAGGAGGAAGGAAAGAAAAGGTATATAAGCTTTGAGCTGTGAGGCTGGGAGTTGTATGTTCCTTAATGTTTGTTAATCACTTTTTTTTTTTTTTTTGGTACCAGGGATTGAACCCAGGGAAGCTTAACTACTGAGCCACATCCTCAGCCCTTTTCAGTTTTTATACTGAGACAGGGTCTTGCTAAGTTGCTAAGGCTAGCTTTGAACTTGGAATCCTCTGCCTCAGCCTCCTGAGCTGCAGGGACTATAGGCGTGTGCCACTATACCATGACTGGTGCAATGTTACTCACTTGTAAGATCATCTGGGCATTTTAAAAAAATCATTTATCAGAGGGCATCAACAACTTTTTCTGTATCTTCAATATTAATTGGTGTAGTTGATTTTGTATTTATTCTTGTGCTGATTTTAGTAGATTAAGTGGTTTTCTGGGAACTATCTATCTCACCAAGGTTTTCAAATTTATTAGCATATATTTATTCAAAATACCCTTTATTATGTTTATATCTCTGTTGTACTCACAGTAAGTCTCACTTTTTTGTTCTTTATTTTTATTCATTTTCTCCCCTTTATTCACAGTCTTGTTCTAACTTTGAATATTTTAGAAATATATTTTAAGAAGTAGATTTTTTTGTGTGTGTACTAGGGATTGAACTCAGGGACACTCGACCACTGAGCCACATCCCCAACTCTATTTTTGTATTTTATTTAGAGACAGGATCTGACCGAGTTGCTTAGCACCTTGCTTTTGCTGAGGTTGGCTTTGAACTCATAATCCTCCTGCTTCAGCCTCTCAGCCAATGGGACCTATCCCTTTTTATTTTTTATTTTGAGGCAGGGTCTCAATAGGATGCTTACAGTCTTGCTAAGTTGCTGAGGCTTGGTTTTGAACTTGCAATCCTCCTTCCTCAGCCTCCCTAGCCTCTGGTATTATAGGTATGTACCACCATGCCTGGCTATACCTTTTGTTTTGTGACTCTTCACTACTTAGTTTTAGTTCTCTATTTCATTAGTTTCTATTTTTTTTTTAAATATTTTTTTTCTTCTTATTTCTTTAGGTTTATTCAATTTCTATTTTCCCACAGATTTTTTTTGTACCAAGGATTGAACCCAGGAACACTTTAACCACTGAGCCACATTCCCACCTCTCCCCCCAGATTTTTTTTAATCTTTATTTTACATTTATGTAGTGCTGAGGGTCGAACCCAATGCCTTGTGCATGCTAGGTGAGTGTTCTACCACTGAGCTACAACCCCGGCCCTCCCCCCAGCTTTTTGAGGAGAATTTCTTAGCCATTTATTTTTAACTTTCTTGTTCTAATAAATATATTGAAGTCATAAAAGTCTTCCAAATTACTGCTATAGCAGTATTCCAAAACATGGGGTAACATTTTTTTTTAACCTGGTTTCAAATGAGTTCATTTTTCTCATGATTGACTTTTAAATCAATGTTATTTATCAATATTCTGTTAGATAAAAGAATTTTAGATATCATTTTGTTAACCAAGTTCTCATTCTATTGCAGAACATAGTTTCTAAAACTGAGACTTTGAAATTTACTGCAGTTTTCTTTATAGCATAATGCATATTCTATTTCAGTAAAAGTCCTGTGTGACTTAAGAAGTTATATATTTGGGATTTTTGGGTGGCTTTCAAAATATAAATCATGTGAAATCTTGTTCTAGGTTTTATTTCCTTGTTCTCTTTATACCCTGTGGGTCAGAGCCAACTGTATTTTATTCATTGATGGCCGGCTGGTACATATGTGTCTTGTTAAACTAGCTTTCTGGGGGAAAAAACAAGATCTGACTGGTAGCACTGCTGATTTCTGTAGTGTAAATACTTCCATCATGGTCAATATCAAATTACCAATGACTAACAACTGTATTGAGAAATTCTTTGAACTCACCATCCTTCTGCCTCAGCCTCTGAGCCAATGGGACCTAGCCCTTTTTATTTTTTGTTTTGAGACAGGTTATATTTTACAGTCTGTTCTTGCAAGCCAGTGTAAGCCAGCTCCATACCACTTTAATGTATATACACATTTTAGCCTTTAGATTCATTTATTCTCTTAACCTAATTTTCCCTTTACCCTGATTTGTACTTTTAAAAATTATGTCTGGCTGGGTATGGTGGCATACACCTGTAATTCCAGGGGCTCAGGAGGTTGAGGCAGGAGAATTGAGAGTTTCAAGGCCAGCCTCAGCAATTTAGTGAGACCCTCACAAAACCCTGTCTCTAAAAAACAAAATTCAAAAAAGGGCTGGGGATGTGGCTCAGTAGTTAAGCACCCCTTAGTTCAATCCTACGTAATATATATATATATATATATATATATATATATATATATATCATATCTGTCTCTAAACTGTTATAAACTCTTTTTGGAATGAAGGGTAGGGATATAAGAGCAGTTAGTTGGCCAATAAAAAAAATCAAGCCTTCCAGTTTTAATAGGTTTCAATCTTGGTTCAGTTCTCAGTCTTGCTGTGTTGCTTAGAGTGTGTTACACGGGTAAGTCCCTGGCTTGTGCAGCTCAAGGGTAACTGAGCAATCAGAGGGTTCAGACCTGGAATCAGGGAATCCCCAGCCTCAGGGGTCTTTTCTGGAGATTCCGCTACACTCTCCTGCCCTTTTTCTTACTTCCTCTAGTATTTGTTTTGGAGACTTAGCATTTGTGCTATGCTCTAGTGCACGTCTGTACCCAGAGAATGACTTCAGGGCAAAGCTGGGGGAAGAAAGGCCTTGCACATGGCCTTTGAGTTCTGACTCTCTTCACAGCCCACCTGCTCTTGTTTACTTTCAGACTCCTCAAGTACTTGTTTTTTGTATCTTGTACAGAGTTTCTAGTTGTGATTACCGGGAGAGAGAGGCTCTTAAACTATTATTTTTAAAATTCAAAATAAATAGCAAGGAGGCTTTTATGATTTTAGATTTTCCCCACACTCCTAAGGGTATGTGATTGTCTCTGAGTACTCTGAATTCAGGTTTAGCCTGACATGCTACTTATATTTCCGTTGAATGGACCTCTTAAGGGATCATTTTTTTTTAAAGAGAGAGAGAGAGAGATAGAGATAGATAGATAGATAGATAGAGAGAGAGAGAGAGAGAGAGAGAGAATTTTTTTTAATATTTATTTTTCAGTTTTCGGTGGACACGACATCTTTATTTTATTTTATGTGGTACTGAGGATCGAACCCAGCACCCAGCACATGCCAGGTGAGCGCGTTACCAGTTGAGCCACATCTCCAGCCCAAGGGATCATTTTTTAAAAAAATATATTTTCTTTAGTTGTAGATGGACACAATACCTTTATTTTACTTATTTATTTATTTTTTAAATGTGGTGCTGAGGATCGAACCCAGTGCCTCACACATGCCAGACTAGTGCTTTACAACTGAGCCATAATCCCAGTCCCCAAGGGATCACTTATTAGCAAAATGTCATTGGATGCTGGAGAAAGAAAATACTCACCACTTTCTGGTATAGAGAAGAAAAGGAGGGCTCTCTGAAGGGAAATAAGTTGCCCTGTCACTCAGGAAGTGCAGGCAAAGATAGTACCAGAACTCAGCTGTGTTTAACCCAGTTACTCAAACATCTGTAACAATTTCCTAAGTGTCAACAGACAAACTTGCGGGTTAATTTTTGCACCTTTATCTCTTAAGCCTTGGAATGAGTTGTTTTATTATTATTATTATTATTATTAGTGTGTTAGGGATTGAATCCAGGGCATGTGCTCTGCCACTGAGCCACACCCAGCAGCCCTATGAGATTTTAAAAAATTATCTATAATGTTTAAAAATCACTGAGTACATGATGACCTATCACATATAGGTTCCCTCCTATTTCTAGTATTCTCCTGTCTCCTTTCTCTAGGAAAGATGTTTCAGATCTGAGACAAGAATAAAAAGGATATGCTGACATCTGGGAGGGAAGAAGCCCCCTCTCCTAATATTCACCTCTCTGACACCCATTCCCCATTCACCACACTGGCCTCTGGTCCTGTAGAGTTTATTAAAAACAAGGAAGGAAAGTCAGAGGAAGATTCACTCGTCATAGAATTTTGGCAGCTCATTCCCCAAGATTACTCGATGATCCACACCAGCAGCGGTGATAGTGACCAGGTAGATGACACCTCCACTGGAGCCATCCCGGTTCATGGCCAGAGTGATAGCTGCAGAGGATTTCAAGTTAGAGAGAGGAGGAGAGAATGACTTAGCTTCAAAAATCTTTTCCTTCCCCTCCGGTCCACCTCAAAAGCCCGCTTCCAGAGAGGCATATTTAGTGGTGAACTGGTAAACCAGCTTCAGAAAAGCAACCCAAAAGAAGCCTTCATATGTAGCACCCACTCATGCCCTTGGTTTAGATGTGGCCACTGATGAGTTTCAAACTACCAACAGATTAACAATAAGTTCCAAACCTTCGGATATTTAACAGTCAGCCCTCATGCATTGGCATGAGCCAGCCCAGCACACCACTGGTTCCTACGAGGACCACATATCCTAGCTTATTTTGTTCTGAACAGTTCTGATTTACCCCTATTGTCCTCAAACCCCATTCAGTCTTATATTCACGTGCAGCCTCCTACCCCCAGGTTACCTCCCGCATGGTTAGTTACCATCTGTGGTGAAGCGCCTGCACTCCTCAGGGGTCATGCCTGGTTTATATGCTGCATCCACATAACCGTAGATATAGGTGCTGCCAGATCCACCAATGGCAAAGGGCTGTCGAGTCAGCATTCCTCCCAGGGTTCCATATACCTGGCAGCGGAGGCACCCTCAGGTCAGACCAAAGAATCATAGAGCCACTCGTTCCCACTGAGTCAAGCAAGTCATCTCTGCACCCTGTAGGGAAGCCCCTGTTTTTCATATTCCCAACATTTGAGGCTGTAGTGTACTTTTTAAGAGGCAGTGTCTTTGGAACTCATTGCTGGAATGACTTATGACCTCCATCTCCTGTGTAGGGAAATGGGAAACCCCAAGGAAGGGGGTGCCTTGGGAGGGACTCACCTGGCCCCCTTCACGTTGGTCCCAGCCAGCTACCATGAGGTGTGCCGACAAGTCTTCCTTATATTTGTAGGTGATATTCCTTATCACATTTGCAGCAGCCAGAACCAGTGGAGGTTCTTCCAGTTCCAACCTGAAGGAGATGTTAGGAATAAGGGTTGATAACATTTTCTTAAGTCCCACCCTCCTGTGCCGTTACTGTCATCCCTGCCAAGTGACACTTGAACCTACAGCTGCAATAGTTCAAACTCCAGCTTCTCTCCCTCATCTACAGAGAAACTAGAGAGCCACACCACCAATTTGTAAGGAGCTTTCAGTTATTCACCCTCTTCCACTCAGCTCCACCCCACCCACCTTGCAATGGTACAAGTCTCTTTTGGTTGCAAGGGCCCTGCCCTTACGGGGAAAAGCAGATAAGCTTCACCTCAGTCCTAGGGACTTTGATTTCTCATGTGGTGACTGCCTGATATTATGGTGGGCCCCACATCATTGTTTTCTTCCTAATGAGTTTTCTTAGGATAGTATTTACAGTTTTCAAACGGCTTTCACATTTATCATTTGATTCTCAAAACAGCCATCTGGGGAATCAGGGTAGGTACTATTTACTCCACTTTACAGATGTGGAAACTGTTCAAAGCTAATAGAAACAGAAGCTGAAACATTGCTCCTGGAACAAGATACTTCATCTGGAGTCAGGTCCCCAGGGTGTCATACCCATGCAACTCCAGCTGGTAGGCGGCCATGTCCGCAATGGCTTGGGCATCAGCGGCTGAACCAGAGAGGGCACAGTAGATGCGATGGTGTAGAGGGGACAGCTTGTCAAACACCCGGTTGACCACTGCCTCTCTGTTGGGAAACAGCCAATGGTCATTAATGTTAGAGTTGCAGGAATTTTGGGGGCTAATCATCTATTGTTTCTCAAGGTTATTTGAAAAGAGAATAGCATGAAATTTAATGCTTGGATTAAAGCAGCCAACAAAAATAAAATAACCTCAGATAAAATAATCACTCTATTAATCATTATTAATTAGACTTCTTTTCAGACTTAGATTTTACAACAAAACAAATATACGGAGTTAAGAAACATGTGCCTCATGAATTTTTCTTCCCTATTAATCATCTTGGAGGAGTTCTGTTCTACAGAACATAAAGTAAGTAATACTGATCTAATCCTATATACTCATGTTGCATGTGAGAAAACTGGCTAGGAGGGGAGAAGAGACAAAATTAAATGAAAATGTAAAAATGAGAAGTGAGATGCTTACTTGATGAAGCCATCTTGTTTATCCTTAAACACAGATGGAAGAAGACTCCTCAGAAACCTACAGCCTGTGCCACATTCAGACCCTAGTCCTTTATACTTATCCTGACACATGACAAGGACGGCTATTTAGGCACTCAGACCCTAGATCCTCCTCCATGAATTCAGCACCCATACATCTACCCAAGGTCATAGTATAGTGGATTTTTTAAAAGGTCAGCTTCATTTCCTGAAAGCTCTAACCTATCAGGTTTTTTCACAAATGGGTCAGAAAAAATGTGTATTGGGGGCCATCATTAGCTTCCTTCCAAAGGTATACACCTTCACTGTACTCACCCTGCAGACACCCGGGAATCAGAACCCACCACGACACCCCCATCAAACTCCACTGCCATGATGGTTGTCTGCAGAGACACAGAGTATGAAATGTCAGAGCAGGAAAAGTCCCCATCCCTTAAGCTATAGAACAGGAAACATTCCCGGAGAGGGAAGGTGACTGGCTCAAGGTCACACAGTAGTTCAGGCCAGAGCTGACTCCTAGCACAGGATTTTTTTTTCCCCCTACATCTTTCTTCTTTCTCTACTGTTTCATTCAGCTATAGGCAAATGTCATAGCCTGGCTCTAAGACCGCACAGAAAGAACTATCTCTAAGCCCCAACTTCCCTAAGTGGAATTCTTACCACTCAAAAGAGAGGTGGAGATGAGGGTCCTAAAGGGAGAAGTGATCCTACTGAGGGGAGGGCTGGAGGGGGTTCACTTCCATGTGCTGGTGAAGAAGCCCACAAGTGAATAGTCTCCACTATCTTGTGCCTGTTGTAGGTGCAGATGTGGTCCAGATCTGATAGTGCAAGTTACTGTGAATTTGGTAAACAAGGTCAGGTCTTTTTTTGATCCCAAATCCTCTACCTCCATTCTTGCTTAATCAGAAGTGAGCTTTTTAAATTTACCAGGCAATGGAAAACATCAAGGAGGTCAGTGGTTGGCATGGCCACGGGTCAAGGTAGGAGGGAAGAAACAAGAATACATAGAAGGATTGCAAGAGGTAAATCAAAGTCTTTGCAGCCAGGGGAAGAGTCTGTACTAGGAGAGTGCTGATCTCTGTCCAGATCTCTTGACTGGATAATTTGAACTGAAATTTCCAGGTCAAGAAAAGGATTAAGGAAGAATGAAAGAGGATAAAGATATACTTTTCCAGATCTTGTTGAGTTGGAAGGAGCCTTAAAGATTCTCTGTTCAGTGGAGGAAACTGAGTCACGGAGAAGAAATTACTTAGCCAAGGTCATGCAGAATTAATAGCAGACCTGGAACTAAAACCCAGGTCTAACTCCTATCCCTTGATTGGACTTCTTGTGCTTTCCACTGCTCACCTGGCGCTGGTGAGGCATCTTGAGCTGTCCTAACTTGTACTGGGCAGATCTGCCCAGAGACAGGTAAAGAAAGAGTCCCTTCAAGTGGCTAGGACGAGAAAATTTGTGAATGTGGATCTGAAGGAGGCCGGGAGAGGAGGGAAGTGAGTGTGTGATGGCGACAAGCAGGACACCAGGGCTGCTAGCCAGAATGTCAGTTCTGATTTCAATGACCACTTCCAAAATAGTTTGGGCCGGTAGCTTTTAGAAGTGGACAGGTCTCCATGCCTTACTCTGGCCCCTAAGGGAGCCTACCTCGAGTGCACTTTCTGACATACTGACTTATATATAAAGGGCCAGAGAACAGGAGTACTATATCTCAGAGGCCATCTCTTTATAACAAAACCACCTGAGGCCTAGAGTGGTGGCAGTCAGTGGTCAGAGAGCAGAAACCAGCCATATGCTTTCATATGCTCCAGGCACCCGGTATGGGCAAACTCCCCCAGCGGGCATGAAGGAGGTAAGGTAGGGAGCACGGCAGCACCTGTGCCAAGCAGGAGCCTTCCGGGAAAGAGCATCACTGACTCACATAAGGACACCTTCCTTCCTTTATTAGTGCTTGGGCTGCGAGTTACCCAGGGACAAAGTTTTGTGTAATGAATTGGTCCTTCTGCATAAATGCTCATATTTCTTTCTTCCAAGTGCTGTCCTGCTTCATTCAGGGCACCATTTCCTTATCTCTTTGCAGTCTCCAAGCTCCTCTCTTGATTTAACTCACCCCCACTGTACACACCAGAGTGAAAGCGAAAGCGCTTCAGAGCAGCTTCCCCTTGACGCTACCAGCTAAGAGCCAAAGCTCCCTTTTCCAACACGGTCGCACGGAGACCCTGAACGTCTTCCTTATGAATAGGGGCACCTATGTTTATTGCGGAGTGCAAGCATTGGCTGCTCCAGGCTACCTCCCTAAATTTCTGGTTAGTTTCTCTATTCACTGCCCTGCTCTTCCAGGGTCCCTCTGTCTCCACCTCCCTGAGCCCTCTGCCAACCCTCAGACCCAGACTCATTACCCCAGTGTGGACTTCTCCGGTCCGGGAGAAGTCCCCGGTAGGTGCTCCAGCCCGCAGCATCCCAGCCAAACGCCGCGCTCCTTGCTGACTGGGGCACTGGTTTCCAATCAGCGGCAGCGCGCTGCCTACGGCTCGCAGCCCCGCCCCCTCACTACTTCCGCCAGGGGGCGCCGGCGAGGCGTCGCACGCTGTCTTAACCTGTGCTGGGCAGATCTGCCCGGAGACAGGTGACGAAAGAGTCCCGCCAAGCGGCTGGGGTGAGAAAATTTGTGCCCGTGGACCTGAAGGAGGCCGGGAGTGGAGGGAAGCGGCGCGCGGGGGGGTGGGGTGTGTGTGTGTGATGGCGACAATGGGGACACTAGGGCTGCTAGCCAGAATGTCGGTTCTGATTTCAATGACCACTTCCAAAATAGTTTGGGCGGGTCGCTTTTAGAAGTGGGCGGGTCTAATGAGCGGCGGCCGCTTTCGATTTCCCTTTCCCCTAAACAGCCTCACTTCTAGCAAGCGCGTCCGGCATCAGCCGGTTCCTGGGACTTTCCTAGAGCTCCGCCTTGGCCGGCGGCTCTTCCCTCCCCCAGCCGCTGGTCCGGTCGCCCACAGGATCGTGGATTCCGGCAGCAGAGACTCCGGCCCAGTCGGGAAAGCGGAGAGTCCCAGGCCGGGACCAGGGACAGCGCCTGCGAGGCAATGGCCTGTCCAAAGTGGTCCGCCCGCTGCAGGTTCTTCCGCTGCTCCGGAGCTTCCCTGGGAGCGTGGCTGGGGGCATCACTGCTACTTTCCGCCGACTGTGTGCTGCTCCGGACTGCGCTGCCCGGAATAGTCTCCCGGCTAGTGCCCTCTTCGCTGCTGCTGCTCCGGACCTGGGTGGTGGGCCTGAGCCGCTGGATCATACTGTGGCTGGGGGTCCGCGGGATCCTCAAGGCAACAGTTGGCTGCAAGGGCAGAAGCACAAGGGGCCACGGGTGGCTGGCAGTTTTGGAGCCATTGGCGGCGGCGCTGGGTTTGGCCTTGCCGGGACTTGCCTTGTTTCGAGAGCTGGGCTCGTGGGGAGCCCTCGGGGATGTTGACAGCACCAGACTGTTGCACTGGGGAAGTCGCCTGGATGCGTTCGTCCTCAGCTATGTAGCCGCGCTGCCTGCAGCCGCACTGTGGCACAAGCTCGGGAGCCTCTGGGAGGCCAGCGGTCATGGAGACTCTGGGGTTGCGGTGCGTCGACTTCTAGGCTGCCTGGGCTCAGAGGTGCGACGTCTCCCTCTGATCCTGGTCCTACTGGTTCTCTCCTGTCTTGGTAAGGGAGACGCAGGGCTGAAGGGAAGGATACAGGGGGCTGGGCAGGAATCCAGGGTGATGGTCAAAGAAGAGCAGTGTGGGTTCTGGGAAATGTAGATGGGTGGACCTCTACCTAGCTCAGGTCTGCAGGGACCATTCCAGACTGGACTGGGTGGGAGCAGAAGTCCTGGGCTTCAGTGCTGGCCTGGGTCCCTCTGGGCAAGTCCTTTCTCTGAGGCAGAACATCTTATTTCTAACAAGAGGGTATTTTACTGCACCATCTCCATCCTTCTTAATTAAACTCCCTGAAGGGGCTGGTGGGGCAACCACAGGATTGTGAGTTCAGTCATATTCAGTTTGGGCTATGAACTCAAAGTCTTTTTTTCTGCAGCTGCCCTGCAGGGTAATGGTAAGCCTGGAGAGGGGCAGGGAGGAGACAGTTTGAGGAGAAATGATGTGCTCAGACTTAAAGTTCGTGACTGACCCATCTCTCTTCTCTCCCAGGGGAGATGGCCATTCCATTCTTCACTGGCCGCCTCACGGACTGGATTCTACAAGATAAGACAGCTACTACTTTAACCCGAAACATCACTCTTATGTCCATTCTCACCATAGCCAGGTCTGGGAGTTGAGCATTGGAACCCTGGAAAAGAGAGGGTTGGATACTGGGGAGACCATCCAAAATGCAGTCCTGCAGGGATATCTGGGACCATCTCTTCCTTGCCTGAACATACCCTGACCCTTCTTCTTCCCCATTTCTTTTTAGTGCACTGCTGGAGTTCGTGGGCGATGGGATCTATAACAGCACAATGGGGCGTGTACATAGTCACTTTCAGGGAAAGGTGTTTCAGGCTGTCTTGCAACAGGAGACGGAGTTTTTCCAGCAGAACCAAACAGGTTTCTCACAAAATTCCTTATACACTCTTATGCTCTATATCTCCATATAAGCTCTTTTACTTTTAACCTTGCAGATTTCCCCTGCCTTTCTTAAACCCATACATTCTTATTTATTTGTTAGCTGTAGTTGGACACAATACCTTTGTTTTATTTATTTTTATGTGGTGTTGAGGATTGAACCCAGGGCCTCATACATGCTAGGCGGGTGCTCTACCGCTGAGCCACAAACCCAGCCCTAAACCCACAAATTCTTATTTGATATACCTCAGAAACAATATTGTTCTCTTTATCATAAAAAATATTTTCATCCAGAATTCCACAAAAATCTGTCCCCATGTGTTCTAGACAGAAACTATAGAATTTGAAACCTGGGAATGTTGAGATCATGAAGTCCAACTGCCTCATGAGGTCTAGACCCTAAATGCTGAAACCTGGATAGTCATATTTGGTTAGAGGCAAACTTGGTGTTAGACCCAGTATCTTGATTCCCAATGCAGCATTCATGATGGATTCCTGGACTGCTTCCTAGCAGCACCCTCCCTTCTCCGGGTCTGCTGTGCGACCAGTTTGAGCTCCTTGTGAATAGTGTGGGATATGCAAAGCTTTAAGGAAGAGAAAGCTTTTAGAGAAATATAAAATCACATGCAAACCAACTTTCTTAGAGTTGAAATGAAGGCCTTTGGCCAGGCTTTTCCTCTCTGACACTCATTTTTTCTGCATTGAGGTTCCCACACCTCCACAGACTCCTAAGCTTATTTGCCTAGCCTCCTTAGAAACCCATGTTGACACCCTGGCCCTGGCATCCTGGCTCTTTGTTCCTCTTCTCATTCTCATCACTCTGTGAACTGGTCTCATTCCTTCCACTCTCTCTCCCCAACCCTGGCAGGTAACATCACCTCTCGAGTAACAGATGACACATCCTCCGTGTGTGAGTCTCTGAGTGAGGAGCTGAACATGTTGATGTGGTACCTGGTGCGAGGACTGTGTCTCTTGGGGCTCATGCTCTGGGGGTCACTGTCCCTCACCCTGGTCACCCTGGCTGCCCTGCCTCTGCTTTTCCTTCTGCCTAAGAAGCTGGGAAAATGGTGCCAGGTATGTCCAGGGAGTTGGCTCAACCTACACAGACCATCATCACTGACTGGTAGACTCACTTTTTCTCAGGTTGCTTTCAGCACGACTCTATTGGTACCCTCACTGATTCTCCATCTTCATGGAATTCCCTGTCCCTGTAGTTCCTATAATCCATGTTCACAGATTGCTCAGCATTGATCTCCATGTTTTCTTCTAACTTCTTCCACAATCTCTCCTTAAGAATATGATCCTCAAACTATTTTGAGAAATTTTCCTCTTCCCTGCATGTCTTTAGTGTCCAGTGGTATAGTTGTGCCCCCTTGTATTCCCTCCTGTCCCTCTTTCTCTTTCTGACTTTAATTTTTAAGAAGGTAGATCAGATAATAGTGTCTCTTATGGTTTGCTAACCTTATGTGACATTTCTTGTCCCTGTCTTCACAGTCACTGGGAGTACAGGTGCAGGACTCACTGGCAGAGGCCACCCAGGTGGCCATCGAGGCCCTGTCAGCTATGCCTACAGTCCGGAGCTTTGCCAATGAGGAAGGCGAGGCCCAGAAGTTTAGGCAGAAGCTGGAGAAAATGAAGACGGTCAACCAAAAGGAGGCCCTGGCCTATGCAGTCAACCTGTGCACCACTGATGTGAGAACCTGGAGATGAGTTGCCACTCCCTTGTCCTTTTCCTGATCTTCCTTCCATTCTTCCTGCACCAGGACATGTTTGGTTCTAAGTATTCATCATAGCACTGAGACTCAGTTACTCTACTTGTTGTCTCTAACTTCCTTCTTCTTTTAGGGTTGCTAAGTAGCTTCTACTATGGTACACAAAGTTCACCCAACCTTGTGGATTGGAAAGATGTCATGTCTTCCAGTCCTAGGGCCTTCCTTTGCCTCTCAGCAAAAGCTAAGGGAGTCATAAATTTATGTACCTGGGCCCACTTCATAGTGGTGCTGTGCCAATATGCTAGTGAGAGCCATGGGAATTCTAGAAGCCAGGGATCAGGGGAAGCTGTGATGTAATGTAAAGGGAACTAAACAGCAATTAGCAGTCCTGGCTTAATGCTGCCATTTACTAGCTCTGAGTACAGGCAAGTAACTTACCTTCTCTGAGGCTGTTTCCTCATTTAGAAAAATGGAAATGATAGACCCTCCTTTACAGGGACTCTTGATACTAATATTAGCTGAGAGCATATTCATGAAAGTCTTTTTGTGAAGAGTAAAATGCTCCCCAAATAAGCTGATGTGAGAAACGTAAGGACAACTCCTGGGATCTGTATTTGAGTCAGACTCCATGGGTTCTCTAGTTCATTTTTCCTTTCTACCTATGGAGCCTGCTACTGTAAATTGAGAGAAAGTGACTTTATCTCTCCTTTATGCTAACTACTCTGGTTCTTTGTGTCCCTTCCACAATTCTTCTTTTTAAAAGTCTCTCTGTGTGGTCTCTCTATAGATCTCAGGGCTGCTGCTGAAGGTGGGAATCCTATACATTGGTGGGCAGATGGTGACAACAGGGACTGTAAGCAGTGGGAACCTCGTTGCATTTGTTCTCTACCAGATACAGTTCACCGGTGCTGTCAAGGTAAGGTCCCTCCAGTTTCACTCCCCAGTGACATTCCTTCCCCATCCCGTCACCACCTGTGTTCCTTTCCTTCCACTCTTTACCCTTCTCACGTCATATAATGCTGGCAAGTAGGTTAGGACTCCCCACTGCCCCTCTCACATTCATAGCTCTCTTACAGGCGCTGCTTTCCACCTATCCCCGGGTACAGAAGGCTATAGGCTCCTCAGAGAAAATATTTGAATATCTGGACCGGACCCCTCGTTGCCCACCCAGGGGTCTATTGATTCCCTCAAACATGGAGAGCCTTGTCCAGTTCCAAGATGTCTCCTTTGCCTATCCTAATGATCCAGACGTCCCAGTGCTGCAGGTATAGCCTCTCAATCTCTGTATTCCAGCCACCTCACCTTAACCTCTGTCATCCTCAATTTTCCTTCTGCTCCTAGCCTGCTAAACATCAAGCCCAATCCTTCTTAAGCTGTAAAAGACATTGCTAAGGCTGGACATGGTGGCACATGCCTGTAATCCCAGTGGTTTGGGAGGCTGAGGTAGTAGGATCATGAATTCAGAGCCAGCCTTAACAACTTAATGAGGCCTTAAGCAACTTAGTGAGAACTATCTAAAACAAAACAAAACAAAAAACGCTGGGGATGTGGCTCAATGGTTGAGTGCCTCTGGGTTCGATCCCTGGTACCAAAATAAATAAGTAAAAAATAAACAGGCATTGGTAAGCATATCTGTTCCATAAATCTTCCCCAAACTCAGGGATTAGTTTGGACTTCCAAGGATAATGGGAGAAGAGGTTTTAAAGAGAAGACTCTCATGTTCCAAGGACTTGCTCACCAAAATATGTGTCCCTGGTCTTCTTTCTTTTCTTGTGTGATTAAGAATGTGATTTTTTTTTCTGCTTCCTGGTGGTATCCAGTATCATGTGTGTGGCATAGTGGTGCTTGTTCTTTACCTTTTTCTTTGTCTCATCTCCCATCTCTTCTCCTTGGGGAGGTTTCATCCCAGAAGTCTATGCATATGGGCTAGTAAGAATTCCTGTACGGCGAGGCTGGGGTTGTGGCTCAGTGGTAGAGCGCTTGCCTCGCTTGCATGAGGCACTGTATTCAATCACCGGCACCACATAAAATGAAAATAAACAAAAATAAAGGCTTTGTGTCATTTTACTTATTTTAAGAAAATAGTTATATTTGCTTAAAATCTATCTATATATCTATATCTATAGATATTTAAGAATTCCTATATGTCCTCATTTTCTCCTTTCTTCTCTGGGGAAGACGTCATGCTAAGTAACAAGACAATGACAGTCTTAATGTTAGAGTCCTTGATTAGAGTGCTTCTTATTGTGATTCTCTGACTTCCAGGGGCTGACATTCACCCTATATCCTGGTAAAGTGACAGCACTAGTGGGACCCAATGGATCAGGGAAGAGCACTGTGGCTGCCCTGCTGCAGAATCTTTACCAGCCCACCATGGGCCAGCTGCTGCTGGATGGGGAGCCCCTTCCCCAATATGAACATCGCTACCTGCACAGACAGGTGAGCAAGAAGATGGCATGGGGAAGAAGGGGAGCGCCAACCTAAAAGAGCATTGTCATTGAAGTGAAAGGAAGGTTAGGGATGATTAGGAGACTTTGGGTGGATATGGAAGTGTGGTCAGGAGAGGAATGTAATTTTATGATATGCTGTCAATCATGAGTGTCCTATCTCCAGATAGCTATACTCCTCTGTTACTTGTTCTGTGATTCTTCACCATATCTTAGGTGGCTGCAGTGGGACAAGAACCACAGCTGTTTGGAAGAAGTATTCAAGAAAATATTGCCTATGGTCTGATCCAGAAGCCAACTATGGAGGAGATAAAAAGTGCTGCAATACAGTCTGGAGCCCATAGTTTCATTTCTGGGCTCCCTCAGGGCTATGACACAGGTACCCATTCATCTTACCACCTGAACACTTTTACCCTTCTGAAACCCCAGTAGTCTTATCTTTATTATTCCATTCCTCCTGTCCCGTGGACATCAATTTGAAGTTGTAAGATCTTGTTGCTGTGGTGGCTTCAGAGTCTCAGAACTCTGCCCACCCTCCCAGAACCTCCCCTGTCCAGTTGTATCCATCAGTCCTTGGTGTGTGTTTGTGTGTGTGTGTGTGTGTTTGCACACGTAAACACATGGGTCTATCCAGCTGTCATCTGGGCTCTTGTCTCTGCAGAGGTAGGTGAGGCTGGGGGCCAGCTGTCAGGAGGTCAGCGACAGGCAGTGGCCTTGGCCCGAGCATTGATTCGGAAGCCACGCGTACTCATTCTAGATGACGCCACGAGTGCCCTGGATGCAAACAGCCAGTTACGGGTAAGACAGCCATCTTCTTAATGCCTAGATCCCACTGAACCTTACTTCCTTTACTCATCCTACATTAGTTACACAAAGGTTATAATTATCCAAACTGGTCCTTGGAATTTTCAGTTCCCATTAGCTTTTCCCCCAAGACATTCAGAACCAGTTAAAAGAGATTATCTCTGAATCCATAAAGGCAAACATAAAGAAAAGACTATTCTAAAATTAATATTAATTAATCCTGTACTTATGTACTAGACTTGCTACTACTTTATAGTACTGTGTCATCAATTTATTAATCATGATTCCTTGTGAGCTGGACATTATTGTCCTCTTCTACAGATACAATGGAGGCTAAGAGAGGTTGAATAACCTGCTGTTTGGCCTGGACCCAAATTCAGATTTGTCTGACTTGAGTGCAAATGCTTTTTACTACTACTAAATTCTATTTGCTCAAAATCTAAAAAAAAAAAAATTCCTGCTTGGTACAGTGGCATGTGCCTGTAATTTCATTGATTTAGGAGGCTGAAGCATGAGGCTCCAAATTTAAAGCTAACCTAAGCAATTTAGTGAGACCCTGTCTCAAAATAAAAAATAAAAAGAGCTGGGGATGTGGCTCAGTGATTAAGCACCCCTTAGTTCAATCCTCAGTACCAAAAATAACATAAAATAAAATAAAGTAATCCTGGTCCATAGGCAGAGAGGAGATTTAGTTTCACCATGAGATTCCTACTTTGTACCGCCTCATGTGAATGAATATTCCTTAATAAAACAAAGGTTCGACAGAGAAACACTCAAAACAGGAATCTTCAGTGCCCTTGGGGTTGTTGGAAGACCAGACAGTGACCCTGTGAGGTCTTTCCTAGCCCTGGAAACATAGATGGATGGTTCTTGGGCTGGGAGTGAGGGGTCCCGTCCTGACAGGGTTTCTGTCTTTCCTCAGGTGCAGCAACTCCTGTATGAAAGCCCAGAGCGTTTCTCTCGCTCTGTGCTTCTTATCACCCAGAATCTCAGCTTGGTGGAGCAGGCTGACCACATCCTCTTTCTGAAAGGAGGCACCATCTGTGAGGAGGGAACCCACCAGCAGCTCATGGAGAATAGGGGATGCTACTTTGACATGGTGCAGGCTCCTGCAGGTGCTCCAGAATGAAAGACTTCTCTACCTGCACATTACCTTTCCCTCCATTTTCTTCTGTTCTCTGTGGTGGAGAACTTGGGAGCAAAGGTCCTACCAAAGCTATAGAGTGGGCAGCTGCTGCTAGGAAGAGTTACATGTTAAGACGTAACCTCCTGGGTGATTATTGAAATTTGTATGTGTGTTACTTCTTCTCCAAGCTCCTCTTGATAATAAAGACTTCCTGGAAGACAAACAGGATTTTGTAAACCCTCCATGGGTTTAGAGATACATTTGATGCTTTGGTCTGAATAGCACTCTAAAAATGAGAAGAAATATTCAGAATGTACAGAAAGGGGAGACCAGCAGCCTTCAATATGTCCAAAGGCATATGCTGGCCCATAAGTACTCTGTGGGTTCTTGATATTTATAATAAAGTTGGTGTTTTGTACTGTGATTTCTGCTGTTTCCGGCACCCCAAGAGTTCAACACCTTTTGCAGTGTACTTTTAGGAAGGTCTTCTTTTAGTATTATTAATATTTGACAGCCCTAGGGGCAACATCCCCTCCCCCAATATTTTATTTCTGTGGTCACCCCTCTATTCCCCCACACTGATCTGCTCCCAAGGATGAGCAAGACTCTGATGGGCCCTCCTCAGGACAGCAGCAGCTGCAGCTCAGAGCCGGCTCTTTCAGAACTGGAACACCGAGGGCGAACCCAAGGGAGGAAGCGCAAGCGCGCGAGCAGGGGCTAGCAGGGCTTCACACCACCCACATGGTTCACTTAGATCCTTTCTGTAAGGCTCACCCAGTTCAGAGTGGCACCTGCCGCCGGGGTAATCTCAGAGTAGTGGGCGGGCTTATCTAGTAAATTTCTTCCATTCAGGGAGGGCCAGGGTGTGTGACGTTAACAGTTGCTGGGCAGATGAGGCCGACACAGGTTGCAAGAAGAGGCGGGGATTCAACTCTGCAGCGTTTTATTGCAGTCAGGAGCCAGGCGAGGGGAGGTGGGCCGAAAGGCATGTTCTTGTGGGTGGCCTCTGGTTAGGAGACCGTTGAACCAGGAGGGGCCTGACAAGGGACCACGTGGAAAGAGATTCAGAGACTCTCCTTCTCCTTGGGACCTGGTACAATGCGGGTACATTCTTTCCGGTGGCCCTAGACGCAGTGTCCCCACCGTCCCCGCCATCTACTTCTACTCTCCTATGATTTTTATAGAAAGATGCTAACAGGAACACTGTCCCCCACCCTCACATGCCCCGACATGAAACCGCCTCCTGCCCCTTGCAGACTTGCACCTTTCTGATTGAGGCTACGTCTTTAGGTGACACGACCCTACCCACTCCTTGGCTGTTTCCAGCGGATGCTGCCCGGTGTCTCTCACTGTAATCTACTCCAAGAGGGCGTCCGAAGGCGCGCTCTCCCCACCCTTCGGATAGACCATTACCCATCGTTTGTCGACCTCTGTGATGCGGAGAAGAGACGTCTGTCCCCAGTATAGTACTCTTGGTTCAGACATCCCCTGGCCTATTCTCGGAAAGGGCAGGGGGATGTGGGAAAAAAAAAAAAAATTCTGGTTCCCTCCCCTTGGTGCCACGGCTTTCGCTTTCACTTCCTCCTCTGAGAGTCGACGGATCTCCGGGTGTTAAGCGATCATGGCGCTGCTGGACGTGTGCAGAGCCCCCGGAGGGCAGCGGCCCGACTGGGCTGTCCCCATTGCGGGAAACAGGCATCGCTCCGACCCGGGACACTACAGTTTCTCTATGCGAACTCCGGAGCTCGCCCTCCCCCGGGGAATGCAGGTGAGGGTGGCGGGAAACCCTAAGCGTGGAGGAAGGAGGGTCTGTTTTGAGGTTGCCTTGCCAGAGGCGGGAAACGCCTAGGGGGTGATCCTCAGCGAAGAAGAGCAGCATCCAGGGCCGGCCCAGAGAGGAGCCCACAGGAGCGTGGGTACCTGAGGGCTAGCAAGTGCAGACGAGGACAAAGAGTTAGGGATGAGGTTGGGACGCATTATCCACAGCAAGAGAGCTTTCCTCCCCCTTCTCCACCACGCACAAACCGTGAAGCCTTTTTCATTAAGTTGTCACATGGTATAAGGGCTGTGCAGGGTCTTGGAAGACCTGTGAACTTTGGTGGCTAGTCTGGTCTCAGCAACTCACAGTGTGTCCGAGAACAAGTCATTCAGTCTAGGTTTCAAGCCCCTCTTCCTTAAAATGAGAATATGTTCATAAAACATGTTTTGTGAAGTTTGAATGACCTATCATTGGGGGAAAACCCCTTAAAATCATTCTTAAACATTTTTAGTTATGGCAACATTTGTTTTCCTTCATTTCTGTGGCACTGGAAAGTGGAAATGTTTGGTGCCCTGTGCTGCTTTTTTTTCCTTCTCCCAAGTCATTTCATTCCAGAATTGGTTTCTAACTATCACATATATTGGTGGCTTGAGAATTCTTACACATCTTATTCCCAGCCCTCTTTAATAAAACAGTTTTCTTCGGAGTTTCCTGCTATAGAAGTGTTTAGTGCCCCTTTCTCTTCCTCTTTCTCTCTCATAGCCCACTGAATTCCTGCAGTCCTTGGGTAGGGATGAAGAAAGAAATGTCCAGATTGAGATGGCCCATGGCACAACCACACTGGCCTTCAAGTTCCAGCATGGAGTTATTGTAGCAGTGGATTCCCGGGCCTCGGCTGGAAGTTACATTGGTGAGTGTGCACGCTTCTTCAGCAGAATCTGAAGAGCTGGGCCCTCTTCTCAGCAGGAGCCCAATGTTTGCACCAAAGCCAAAGCAGATATTGATCTAAGGCACATAAGAAGAATTGTGGGGTCATTCTGCCTCGATCAAAACTCTGTCTTCTTTCAGCCACCTTAAGGGTGAACAAGGTGATTGAGATTAATCCCTACCTGCTTGGCACCATGTCTGGCTGTGCAGCAGACTGTCAGTACTGGGAGCGCCTGTTGGCCAAGGAGTGCAGGTGGGTGAGGCCTCACACTCCCTTTCTTAGTCTAGTAGTTGATTCCTGGGTCTCCTAGATCACTGCTCCTCGCCCTTGTCCCCTGTGGTCTATATTAATGCTAAAAGAGTACTTCCCAAACAGCCTTTGAGTGATAAAAGCCTCCCAAATCTTCATCTGTACTGCTGCCTATAAACCAAATACTTTCTCAATTATTTAGTGTGGACACTATCAGCTGTGATGATGTAGTATCATTTACTAGGTTTTAAAAATGTGTTTTAGATACTTTACATTCCACATCTTTCCTCGATCCTTGGAGCCTACAAAATAATTCCTTCCAAGTATTTAGCTTTTAATCATTTCCTGATTCATCAGGTGGGAGAGAGCTAAACTCCCTCCTCCACCTCCTGTCCTCATACAGGCTGTACTACTTGCGGAATGGGGAGCGGATCTCAGTGTCAGCTGCCTCCAAACTGCTCTCCAACATGATGTGTCAGTACCGGGGTATGGGCCTCTCCATGGGCAGTATGATCTGTGGCTGGGACAAGAAGGTGGGTACTCTCCATTTCCCATGATCCTCCAGCACAGATGAGTGAGCCCTTCTGCCTGCTACCCTCCCACTTCTGCCTGGACAAGATGTACAGCATATAGAATGTTTGATTCTAGAACTGTTTCAGTATATGCACAGGCTATTTCTTGGTCCAGATGTGGACACTTTATGTACTTCATAAACTATTTTGCTAAAATAGCTGAATCCCAGTTTTGTTTTTCCTTTTATTTCTAAAGTGATTTTTACCAAATCCTAATTATCCTAATTCAAATGTTCTTATGGTAATTTTCATTCTTTTGAAAACTTTTTATGACTCACCCTTAAGCCTCTATGTTACCAACATTTCCTTTTCAAATTCAATTCAGAACTTTGTTTCATCCTACAGGGTCCAGGACTTTACTATGTGGATGAAAATGGGACTCGACTCTCAGGACATATGTTCTCCACGGGTAGTGGGAACAGTTATGCCTACGGGGTTATGGACAGTGGCTATCGGCCCAATCTTAGTACTGAAGAAGCCTATGACCTTGGTCGCAGGGCTATTGTTCATGCCACTCACAGAGACAGCTATTCTGGAGGCGTTGTTAATAGTAAGAGACTGATAATCCCACCATCATGCCTGGGAATTGGGATTTAATTTTAGGGTACTCAGGGGAGGCAGAGTGGTAGGGAGGAGGTTTTCAGAGTAAGAAGTGCCCAGTAATAAGCGTTTTGAGCATGTATGTGTGTGTGTGTGTGTTTGTGGGTCTGTGTGTGCACATGTGTATTCTTGTTGCCTTCAACATAAAACTGTGAACAGGAACTTGCTGAAGGGAAGGGTGACTCCATGCTCTTCTCTCATTTGTCCACAGTGTACCATATGAAGGAAGACGGTTGGGTGAAAGTGGAAAGTACAGATGTCAGTGACCTGCTGCACCAGTACCGGGATGCCAGTCAGTAATGGTGGAGACTGGGCAGGCCTCCTCGGGCTAGCCTGGTAGACTCAGGGAGCTGGTCATCCTAAGTCCCAGAAAAAGGAGTAGCCCCACCAAAGCCAGAGATAGAGAACTGGCTCCGCAGTCAGTGGGGACCTGGAAGGTTGGACCCAGCTCATCCTTTTTTGTGTTCTTCATTTCAGGGAGCATCCCTCCTGGGTGCCCCCTAAGCCCAATAAAGTAAAAACGGTTATAAATGCATCTGTGTTGTGTGCTGAGGAATGGGGACTGTGGTTTTATTTGGCAGGTTGGAGTAGAGGGGAGGAAATCGAGACACTTTTCCAGAGAAGGGACTTAGATTCTTACCGAAGAAATGCGGTCTGACCAGATAGTTCTTCTCTCTAGGACCTCAGGAGGACTGATGATGTTCTCTTTGGACACTTATTTGCAATTTCATTTAACTCAGGGTCCTTTCTAAAGAGACATTATCTGGAGACTCCTATGTGGTCTGTTATTAACTTTCTGGGCTACTTGCGGGGAGGGCACCTAGAACAGCTGGTTTTTGACTGTAAAATGGAATGAAAAAGTTTCCACCTCACATATGTGTGGTAGTTGTAAATACTGTACCACTTAACCCTAAGCAACACCTTGGAAGTATTGTTTTTTGAATGTAAGATGGGCATTTAGGGTGATTGGAAGTTGACAGAATCATCATGATTGAAGAGGAAGAAGACATAAACAGGAATCAAGTGGGGAATATGAGGTAAAAATAAAAGATCCAGGTTAGAAACAAAGCAAAACAAGACAGATACAGTGAGATTCTCTGATTCACACAGGAGCTGCAGGAAGGAGCATGGACCACATCTTGGTCAGAAGAGAGGTGGTTAAAGGAGCCGCTTAACAGTTGGGAGCAGCTGGGAAAAGACCCTTAAAACCCCAGAGCAAATAAGTTCAGAGACATTTTAATAATTATCTACTTCAACACTTTCCTGCAACTATTTTCAACTTTAAATGTTACACAAATAACTTTTTAAAAGGGGAGTTTGGAATCCAAGTGATCACTGCTTTGAGGTTTTTATGCATGTATTTTTCAAGTTTTGGGTGTAGTTTCAACCGGAAGAGAGTCATTTCTGAAGTGAATGAATTTGCAGTTTCTATAGATAGGCTCTGGGTCAAGTAGAACCTGAAGAAACCCAATGGCATTTTTCTTTTTTTGTAATGGAATTGAACCCAGGGCACTTCACCACTGAGCCCTTTTATTTATTTATCAGCCCTTTTATTTATTTATTTTTCGAAGAACTTCTTTTTTGTTGTAGATGGACACAATACCTTTATTTATTTTTTTAATGTGGTGCCGAGGATAAAACCCAGTGCCTCACACCTGCTAGGCAAGCACTCTATACCACTGAGCCACAACCCCAGTCCCAGCATTTTTATGTTTTGAGCAGGGTCTCTCTAAGTTGCTAAGGCTCAGTCCTCCTGCCTCAGCCTCCCAAATCGCTGGGATTACAGGCGTGCCCAATTGTTATTCTAATCTGTATTAAAATAGACCAGTACCTGACATTTTCCTCATATGCCAACTTTCGCCATAATTCTGAACACAAACGTACAGGCCCTGTTACAAGTGCTCTGTTGAGAAGAACACATGAAGATAAAGGCCAGGACCCCGCTAAGTTCAAAATCTATTAGTGGAAACCTTCTTTGACCTGGTAAGAGTGTCTGGAACTTCTCATTAATGAGCGACCCTGCCTGTTTGGCTCTGGCTCTGGCTGTTTTACCCCAACGCCCTAAAACGGGCTCTTCTGGGAGAATGGGGGCACTTCCTGAATAGGTTCCGAGCCAGAGGGAAAACTGAACAAAGTTACAAAGCACCTCAGACCCTGAAGCAGTTTTGCAATTTTACATTAAAAACTAACCGCCACAGAGGATGAACCACACTCCAGGGTTGGGATTTGCGAGCGCGACCTGCGGATCCCGGCTCCGCAGTCTGCGAGTGTCTGGCGCCGCCTGTTGGCCGCCGCGCCCAGAAAGAGGCAGGAGCTGGGAAGAGAAAGCGAAAGCCGCGAGGCCCCGGCGCCGGGCTGGGAGAACACCGCTGGCAGACCAAAGAGGGAAACGGAGTTGAGACAGTAGGAGCGGATTTCAGGCTCAGTCCCCAGCACCTAACCGACAGCCGCGCAGAGCTGCATTCACGCCGCCGCCGCTGGTGAGTTTGTGCGCACGGAAACTTGGAGCGCGAGCAGGGGCGCCGCCGACCACCTCCCACCCCACCGCCCACCCCACGCCACACCCTTTGCTTCCCGATCCTCTGGACCCAGAGGAAAGGAAGAGAGCAGGGCTGGGCTCGCTTGGCTCTTTGGAGCTCCGCGGCGGCTGGCGCGGATGGCGGCGGGACCCGATTAGGGGATTTCTTATTTTTAAAGCGTGAGGCTTCCCAGCTCCCTCTGACGGGCAGAGTGCCGTCAGCCCTAGGAGGGACGTGCTGATGAGCACTGGGTACCCAGGGAATCTTACAGGTTGGGATCGGATGAAATGAGAAGCCAGTGGACCGGTGGTGGTGGGGGGGGGGACACAGGGTGGCGGGGACAGAGAATGCTACTCCACTTCCCAAATTTTTCACTTTTTACCCGTAGATGGCGCTCCCTGACCTGAGGCCCTGGGCCTCCCTGCTGCTATTGGACGCAATCTTACTCTGGCTGCTTCAGGGGACTCTGGGGACTTTGCTTCCTCAAGGGCTTCCAGGACTATGGCTGGAAGGAACCTTGAGACTTGGAGGCCTGTTGGGGCTGCTAAAGCTGTGGGGGCTTCTGGGATTTGTGAGGACCTTGCTGCCCCTGCTGTGCCTGGGGACCCCCTTGTTCCTCTCTCTGAGATCCTTCGTGGGGGGGACATTGAGTGCTCCCCCAGTCAGAGTGGCTTCAGCCTCTTGGAGCTGGCTGCTAGCGGGGTATGGGGCTGCAGTGCTAAGCTGGGCGGTATGGGCTGTTTTGAGCCCTCCTGGAGCCGAGGAGAGAGAGCCAAGCCAGGAGAACAACAGAGACCTGATGTGGAGGTTGCTGAAGCTCTCCAGGCCAGACCTGCCATTCCTCTTGGCCGCCTTCTTCTTCCTTGTTACTGCTGTGTTGGGTGAGTGGGGCCGGGCATTGTGAGTTCGAGTCTGGACAAGGGCCTTGGCACCAGCACATTCATCTGGTGTTCTCATGCCTTTTTTCAGGTGAAACATTGATCCCTCACTATTCCGGTCGGGTGATTGACATCCTGGGCGGTGATTTTGACCCTGATGCTTTTGCCAGCGCCATATTTTTCATGTGCCTGTTCTCTGTTGGGAGGTAGGTGATGGGCAGTTGGATCCCCAAGTCTATATAGGGGTCTTCACTCCTAAATCTATTTTGCACAAAGCACAAAATACTTAAACTGAAATATACATGTATTTATCCACTATTCACTTTGATCCACTCATTCATTTCTTCCTTTATTCGCATTTACCCAATATCTTCAAAGTTTATAATACATTATTACCAATATGAGTATGGTTGGATGTAGTACAGAAGGAATTTATGTGTCAAAGGGAATGTCTTTCATTTGCCTATCAACATTTCTCCATGAAATTCCAGTTCTCTTTTCTGCCTCCTCCCTCCCACCCCTGTGTGTCTCCAAAGCATCTCTCCAAGGTGGACATATCCCTATCTCTCTCCACCCCTCAGTGTTCATTCATTTTGCAAATCCCGGAAGCTCTCATTCAGAGGCCTATCTCTCTTGTTTCCAGCATCTTTACTCTTTCTCTTGACTTGCTTTCCCCTCTTTTTAGACATACACAAGAATCTGCTGTCACAAACAGGCTGGGACTGGATGAGGTGAATGAAGCAGCTAGGGTGCAAAATTTAAAGAGATGCTCACTTTAGCTTGCAACTGCTCCTTTTTCGTGGCCATACTTCCTTTCAAATACTCTCAAAAGCCAATTATTTCATTATGTCTTCATTCTATACTTGGTACTTTCTGTTGGAACTACTCAAATGTGAACTTCTTATTGACCAATCCACTATCCCCCACCCCCTTCTAATCAGGCCACAGTTCTTTTTGGCTTCTCTGTAGCATTTGGCTATATTATAATCTCTTTATTGATCTCTTTCTGCAGTTAGCTTTTATGAACTCCCTTTCTACTTTCCAAATCATTCTGCCTCCTTTGAAGAGCTTTCCTCCTCTGCACACTTAAATATGGACTTTGCTTTTAACTCATTTTTTTGATCTTTAGTAACATTTTTCCTATTAAGCTAATTGAGTTCATCTCTGGATATCATCACCAGATCCATATTTCCATAAGGATTGTCCCCTTATATCCAATAGAGTCCCTGTTGAATAGCCCACTCACACTCCGTGTACTCAGAACTTCAAATGTATCACACACTGTTCTGGTCATCCAGAAATTGGCTCTGTCTTTTCATTCATGAAACCATCAGTATCCTTGGCTTGAGCGTCTGCACCATGGATATCTTCCTCATATCAAACACTAGTCCTGCTATTTCCTACTTTCAAAATGTTTCTTCTATATGTGTTTCTTTTCTTTTCCTTCTTATTTAGATCACCAGTCCAAAACCCTCCTGATTTCATGTCTGATTACCCAACAGCCTTTTATATATGTAACCAAATATTATTAGAAATCTGTGTTTTATAAACACACATTTTTATGTTTTTTAAAATATTTTTCCTGTAAGTTTTTTAAGTGTATTTTTTCAATTGTAGATGGACACAATACCTTTATTTTATTTGTTTATTTTTAATGTGGTGCTGGAGATCGAACCCAGTGCCTCATGCATGCTAGACAAGTGCTTTACCAGTGAGCCACAGCCCTGGCCCTCCTTTACGTTTTATAGTAAAATTTTGGTTGGTCGAAGGGGAAGTCTTCAAGAATGAAAGGCAGGGTCAGTGTGATTCTATGTCTCTGGAGAACGGAAGGGCAGGGAGATCTGTGCTGAGTTCCCATAATGAAGTATCTATGATTATGAAGAAGGGTTTTGGGGCCAGGGAGAAAAGAGACCAAGACAGAGAAGAAGCCCAGAGGGACAACATAGAGGGAGGCCAGAAGTAAGCCCTGGGCTACTTCCTTTCACTTCTGTTGTATTCCGCTTTGTGTAACACAGAGTGAACTCCATGAGCATTCATGAATTGTACATGTGATGACTTTGCTCCCACATCTGGGTTACCAGGTCTACCATTTCTTCTTCTCTTTATTCCCAAGCCTCCTCTTCTCTTCTCTGTCTCTCGTCTCTGTCTCTCTGTCTCCCCCCACTCTTCTTCTCTCCCTCTCTTTCCTTTTTGCTTTCCATGGTCTGCTGTCCCTAACTTTTGTGTTTCTTTTAATTCTGGCCTTCTCTGCTTCTCTCGCCTCCCACTCTTCTCTGTGCCTCTGTCTCCTCTTCAACTTCCTGCTTTCTTCTCCCTTCCCACAGCTCAGTGTCTGCAGGTTTCCGAGGGGGCTCCTTTTTCTTCATCATGTCCAGAATCAACTTGCGGATCCGGGAGCAGCTTTTCTCCTCCCTGCTGCGTCAGGACCTCAGTTTCTTCCAGGAGACTAAGACAGGTGAGGGCTGAGTCAGGTCTGGGATTCCCCTGGCCATTCCTTGTCCCCGATACCCTCCCATCTTTACTATTTGCCAGGGCCAAGAGTTCTCTTCTGGGACAGTGTAGTGATGCACGTCTCTCTGTAAGACAGGAGGGGTTTCTGTCGGTGGTGATGGTCAGGAGGGAGTTTTGGGGATGCTGCAGTGTTATGGTTTCCTCATCTGCTCTGTCGTTCCCAGGGGAGTTGAACTCACGGCTGAGCTCAGATACCACCCTGATGAGCCGCTGGCTTCCTTTAAATGCCAATGTAATCTTGCGGAGCCTGGTGAAAGTGATCGGGCTGTATGGCTTCATGCTAAGCGTGTCACCAAGACTCACCTTCCTCTCCATGCTCGAAATGCCCCTCCTAATAGCAGTGGAAAAGCTGTACAATATGCGCCATCAGGTATGTGTGGATGTTAGGGAACTGAGAGGAGAATAAAGCATAGAGGCGAGGAATCCACATTCATAGCTGTAGGATCTCCTAGAGAGAAATCTTCTCTTTTCAGCCCTTAGAGTATATTATATATTTGTACCTTTTGCTTATTCAGTCATACATTGATGGACATTTGAGTCAGAAGGTCCATGGCCCCCTTAAACTGTAAGCAAACATGTACATGAGTGTGGGGATATACCAACTCCTGAGACTCTGCTTTCAATTCTTTGGGGTATACGTGCAGAAATATAATTGCTGGATCATATAGTAAATATATTTAATTTTTAAGGAATTGCTCTACTGTTCCACAGTAACTGCCCCGTTTTACATTTCTACCAGAAATGTGCAAGGATTCTGATATTTTCATATCCTTGCCAACGCTCACTTTCCTCTGTTTTTCTTTTTTTTTTTTTTAAATAATAGCCTTTATAATGATTGTGATGTAACTCATTGTGGTTTTGATTGCATTTTCCTAGTGACTAATGATGTTAAGCATGTTTTCAAGGGCTTATTGGACATTTTTGTATGCTCTTTGGAGGAATATCTATTCAATTCCTTTGCCCATTTTTAAATTGGGTTGCCTTTTGTTTTTGTTGATTTGTAAGAGTTCTTTACAGATTGTGGATGACATTTCCCCTATCGGATATATAATTTGCAAATGTTTTCTTGCATTTTGTGATGGCCTTTTCACTGATAGCACCCTTTGATGTACCAAAGTTTTTAATTTTGATGAAGTCCAATTTATCCATTTTTTTTGGTTGCCTATGCTTTTGGTGTCATATCTAAGAAATCATTGCCAAATCATGAAGTTTTTCTCCTATGTTTTTCTGATAGTTTTAGCTCTTACATTTGGGTCTTTGATCCATTTTGGATTACATCTTCACCTTTCTTAGCTAGCTCTGACTTCTTGGGAAAAGTATCCTTCCTTCCTCATCAGACACAGGAGGTTGAAGAATTACCTTATTAGAAGGCTAAAAACAAACAAACAAATAAAGCAAGCAAGCATATATCTCCCATACTACCTAACAGTGAGCACTCAATAGTATGGTTTTCTCCCTCCTTTACTCATTATTCCTTCTGTAAGGAAAATTAAGGAAGAGGGTAAAAGAACCATTTGATGTTTTCTGTAGGTTGGGGAGTATCCCAAGGGCTGGAGGGTACCTGGGGCCTGCTGTCTTCGGTGGCATCACTGGGGATGTCGCTGTGCCACTCTTCCAGGCGGTGCTGCTGGAGATCCAGGATGCAGTGGCGAAGGCAGGGCAGGTGGTGCGGGAGGCAGTTGGCGGGCTGCAGACCGTGCGCAGTTTTGGGGCCGAGGAGGATGAGGTCTGCCTCTATAAGAAGGCTGTGGAGCGGTGCCGGCAGTTGTGGTGGCAACGGGACCTGGAACGTGCTCTGTACCTGCTTATACGGAGGGTGAGACAGCTGAGTGGCAGGATGAAGGCGTGGGAAGGGAAAGGAGAAAGGATGGGGGCGGGGAGACAGCAGGTTCTGGGTGTCCCTCACGAGTGTCTCTCACAGGGGCAGGTGCGGGGATAGAAAGCAGAGACTTTACAGCCTCTCCTCTTCCCCTCTCGCAGGTGCTGACCTTGGGTGTGCAGGTGCTGGTGCTGAGCTGCGGGCTGCAGCAGATCCTGGCCGGCGAGGTCACGAGGGGCGGGCTGCTCTCCTTTCTGCTCTACCAGGAGGACGTGGGGAACTACGTTCGAGTGAGTGAGGACCCACGTGCTCTCCCGTTTTACTCTGGTTTTCTCTCAGCCCTTATGGGTCTTGGGTTTTATTTCTTCCCCTTAAAAATACAAAACAAAATAGAAAACCCCAATTCACTTTGTTGTGGAGAATTTCAAGCATTAAAAAAAAAAAAAAAAGAGGGGTTGGGGTTGTAGCTCAGTGGTAGAGCGCTTGCCTCGCATGCGTGAGACTCTGGGTTCAATCCTCAGCACCACATAAAAATAAATAAATAAAAAGATATTGTGTCTTTATACAACTAAAAAATAATAATAAAAAAGAAAGTAATATAACAAATTCACATATGCCCAATACCAGCTTTAACAATTAACATCTCATGGCCAATCTTGTTTGGTCTGTATCCCCACTCACTTTCCCCACCATATTATTTTAAAACAAATTCATTATCTGTAAACATTTTGGTATATATCACTAAAATAGAAACGTCTAAAAAAATACTTAATCAAAAAGCTATTATCACCCCTAAAAATTGACATAATTCTTTATATGCAATCAAAGGTCAAGTCTCCAGTTGTCTTAGACATGGTGTAGTAGATTCCAGATAAGGTCTACATGCTGTGATTGGTTAATATGAATTTTAAATCTCTCAAAAAATTTCTCTCTTTGCAGTTTATTTGTTGAAGAATTAAGTGGTTTGTTTGGGAATTTCTTATGGCTTGGATTTTGTTGAAGGAATCTCTGGGGTTTTATTTATTTATTTGTCGGTACCAGGATTGAACCTAAGCCACTTAACCACTGAGCCACATCCCTAGTCCTTTATATATTTTATTTAGAGACAGGGTCTCCCTAAGTTGCTTAGGGTCTCCCTAAGTTGCTGAGGCTGGCTTTGAACTTGTGATCCTGATTCAGCCTTCAGAGCCACTGGGATTACAGGGTGCCCCACTACACCTAGATGTGGTTCTATTTTAGTAGGTTTCTCTACCTCTATTTTCCCTGCCCATTGGTAGACAAATCTTAAGTTTGTGAGATTCAGGATTCCTTCCTTCTTTCCTTCTTTTCCTTCCTTCTTCCCTCCCTCCCTTCCTCCTTCCTTTGTCCCTCCCTTCCTCCCTCCCTCCCTCCATCTCTCTCTCTCTCCCTCTCCCCCCCCCCTCTCTCTCCTTTCTTTTAGTACTTCCTAGGTGGTGGTGGGTTCTTCCTCCAGGAGACTTACAGTGTCTCTTGTGGTAATATCAGACTTTCATGTTCAATGCCTAGAACTGTTAAATTATTGGGGCTGCAAAATGGTAAAACTCTATTGTATCAGTTATTAAGAAAGACTTGTTCTCATCTATTATTGGGTTACCTAGTGATGCAGTTTGATTAGGAAAGGCAGAATGAGGATTAGGCCCTTTTCCTATATTTATCAGTTCAAAGCTAGTTACCGCATCATGGGTTTTATTTTGTAATTTCTCTGACATTTACTGATCATCTTTTATGTTTGGGAACTGTGCTAGGTACTCTGGTGGCTCCAAAGGTGAGTTAGGTACAATGTCTGCTTTTAAGGTGTTTCCTGTCTAGTCAAGCAAGACAGAACTGTGCATGAGGGATATAAAACAGTAATTTCCAAGGTCTGGCGATAGGCATAGTGCTGTGTGGTCAGAATATGGAATTTACATCCTCTTCATTGCAAATTAGAACACTGAGATGTTAGTGCCACTTTTAAATTCTAAATTTCACATTTAAATAAGGAGTATCTTTTTTGAGTGGGTGGAGTGTTGCAGGGGAGTGTGAGGAATTGGGAGGTTGGTTTCCATAGGATGTTTGCTTAGCTGACCTGTCCATTCTTGTTTCCCAGGCTCTGGTATTTGGTTTTGGTGATATGCTGAGCAACGTGGGAGCTGCAGAGAAGGTTTTCCGATACCTGGACAGAAAGCCCAACCTGCCTGAGCCAGGGACTCTGGCCCCTCCCACACTGCAGGGGATTGTGGAATTCCAAGACGTCTCATTTGCATATCCCAATCGCCCTGACCAACCTGTGCTCAAGGTGCCTGAGAAACGCCCCAGGGAGGGAACTTGTCCCTAGCTCCCTACTGCTTTTGGGTGATCAGGTACCAAAGACTGGAGATCATTTTCCTTTGAGGAGCTGATTTTGCTTCTGCTAGGAAAAGAAGGAAAGGGATGCTGAGGGAAAAGTGGCAGGCCCCTGACTCTCCTGATTTTCCAGGGGCTGACGTTCACCCTCCACGCTGGAGAGATGACAGCGCTGGTGGGACCCAATGGTTCTGGGAAGAGCACTGTGGCTGCCCTTCTGCAGAATCTGTACCAGCCCACAGGAGGGCGGCTGCTGTTGGATGGGGAGCCCATCTCAAACTATGAGCACCACTACCTGCACAGCCAGGTGGGTGGGGAGGGAGGGAAGGGATTGGTTAGGAGAGGAGGATGGCTGATCCACAGGGAGAAATGCCAGGGGTCCATTCTGAGGGAGGCAGGCAAGGAAGAACGGAGGGTCCTAGCATAGGATTTGCACACTGTCCTCTGCTCCCATTCCCTGTGTACAGGTGGCTTTGGTTGGGCAGGAGCCCGTGCTGTTTTCGGGTTCTGTGAGGGACAACATTGCTTACGGGCTGAGGAACTGTGAGGACGACAAGGTGATGGCTGCCGCCCGGGCGGCCCATGCTTATGACTTCATAAGTGAAATGAAGCATGGGATATATACAGGTACTCTTCACAGGTTGTAAGTCTACCCTTTCAGTCAACAGAGAAAGTGGAGCTTATCCATGGGGTGAGGTTGGGTTCCTGTAACCTGTTTACTCCTTTCCTGCCGTCCCTCTGTTCCCATTCACCGTTCTTCCCCAGCCTCCCTCTCTTGCTTGTTCCCTTGCTTGGGAGCATCGTGGAAGTAGGGCTTCTTCCACACAGGCAGCCACGGTCCCCACCTCCCAGCCTTCCCCCACGGGGCCCTCTTACCTCTTGAAGGGCTTGTGGGAAGAGCTGCTGGGCACTTGTCTCTCTGCTCAAGAAGAGGCATCCTGATCCCTGTGTCTGAGGAATGGAATTTCTCTGGTTTCCTCAGATGTAGGGGAGAAAGGGAGCCAGTTGGCTGCAGGACAGAAACAGCGCCTGGCCATTGCACGGGCCCTTGTGCGGGATCCACGGATCCTCATCCTGGATGAGGCCACCAGTGCCCTGGATGTGCAGTGTGAGCAGGCCGTGAGTACCAGAGAGGGAAGGGCAGGGAACAGTGGAATCTAAGGGTCACAATTGAAGGATCAGCCCATGCAGGACTGGCTAGGGAGGACAGTAGCCTGCTGGTGCAAAGGGAGGCTGTGCCTATGTAGGGTTGGGAATGAAATAGAGAATGCAGTGGTGCGGGGGCCTACCTGATTCCTCCAAGGGTCCCTTTCCCATCCTCCAGTGGCAGCGGAGAGAAGGGCAGGGCAGACCCTTATCTACGGCCCTTCACACTCATCTCATGTTTCACGTCTTCTACACCCTAAGTCACTAGAGATGGTGCCCAGGCAGGTGGTGGTGTCCATGCTGTTCTTACCTTTCTGAGACACTGTGGTCCTGCCCCTTCAGCTCCAGGCCTGGAAATCTCGTGGGGACCGAACGGTGCTGGTGATCGCTCACAGGCTGCAAACGGTTCAGAATGCTGACCAGATCCTAGTGCTCAAGCAGGGGGAGCTGCTGGACCACGCCCAGCTCAGGGAGGGCCAGGACATCTACTCCCGCCTGGTACAGCAGCATCTAGAGGAGTGAGGCCTCCGGACACTGGGACCTTCTCAGGACTATTGCTGCAACCCAGACTCAGAGAAGCTCCTGCTCTGAATTCCCCTGGGTTTTACCCTGAGTAGCTCTTCCTGGTGCTGGAAGCATGATGGAGATTTGGACCATGTGTACTTTTGGCAGGCTGGGGTGGGTGGGAGTGAGGGGATGGCGGATGGCTGTGGTGGGCTGTCTTGGGCTGGGTGGGCGCTGTCTTGTCAGAAACTTTTTTTCCCTTGGTTAATAGTTTTGCCTATGTGTAGTGTCTAGTGGCATAATAAATATGTTTAAAAATGCTTTTTCTTATATGTATATAAACAAGTACACATTCATTTAGAAACTATGGAAAAGGACAAAGAAGAAAGTCAAAACTACCCACCATTTCACTTTCCAGAGAGAACCAAGGTTACTGTTTTGCTGACTGCCCGCTCAGTCACGTATCTGTTCTTTGAAATACCAGTTAACCCAATATGACATAAATATTCATGGGTTGTCTTTCTGAATCCTTCCCCATTTGCATTAGAGCCTGCTTTTTTGGGGGAAGCTAGGGTTTTCCCCGAAAAAACACAGATCTCTAATTAGCAGTGTAAATATATTGATAATAGCTAACATTTACAGAGTTTTAATATGAGTAGGAACTATGCCAAGTCATTTTTCATCACTATTAATCCTTGCCCCCAACACTATGAGGTTGGTGATTATTTATTATCCCCATCTTATACATGTGGAAACTGATTATATGACTTTTCCGAGGTTACACAGTGGTGGAGTTGGAGTTTGAATCCAGGTCTGAACCTACAGTCCACACCCTAAACTATCAGGGGTCAAAGGCCAGCGTCTCAGTAAGGGCTCCTTCCTGCCCAGGGGAATCCAAGCCACCCTACAACTTACAATCTCAAATAACTAGCAAATAACAAAGTATGAACACTCAGAAATATATTTATAGAATGCAAAGCCCCTGATAGATCTAGTCCACATGGGTTCTGGAACTAGACAAAGACAAATGGCTCTGGTGGCTTATTTAAGCCAGTACATCAAAGGCAGGGGTAAGGTTTCAAGGGCAGAGTCTTGCTTCCTGATGTCTTGTAGTGAGCAGGTTGATTGACATCTTGGCAGGTCACACCCATCTCAGGTGCTATGTGGGCCACTGCAGAGTGGGAAAGCGATTCACATTGTCCCTGGATGGTTGACCAGAGGAAATGTCCACTGGCCGTTTCCAGACACCAGATGTCTCTAGCAAAATAAAAATCCCAAAGGCATGCAGCCAATAATCTTCCTCTAATCCATGCCTATAGTTACCAGTTGCTATCCAAGTAGTCCATTCAAATTGTTAATCCATCAAATGGATGGATTAATCCATCAGTTAGGTTATAGCTCTAATATTCTAATCATTTCATCTCTAAACATTCCTGCATTAACACAGGAGCTTTGGGTGGACACCTCACATTCAAACTCATTTATCCTATTAAGCTATATCCTATTAAGCTATTAAGCTATATATTGCTCCCCAGCGCACGGCCTGATTGACAATAGACAATAAATAATACATCTGTTGGATAAATGAATAAACCCCAGTCTTCCCTACAAGTACCAACCACCAAGAATCCACACTGCACACATCACTGGCTGCCGGGAGGGACTTGTTTTGGAACTCTCTCTATTCTAGGAAATAGAAACTTTCACATTCCCGGAAACAGCAGGTACTTTCCAGTTTGGGCCATGAACTTGCCAGAACTGCTGTTTGGAATTTCTTCTGCCTGGCAGCTGCTGGGAGCAGGTAGGGTGAGAATGGAGAGCTCTTGTACAGCCTTTGTGTCATCCTGCTGCTACCCAGGAGCTCCGTTCCCACCCACCTCTCAGATTTTTTATGGAGAAACTGGCCTGAAATCAGGCAGTTAATTAGTGACAGTGAAACTGGATTTTCAGCCTCTGCTGTTGTAGTGGTGCAGTGACTCCAGTTGCCACCTAGTGATTTCTTTCTGGGTCCATGTCTCATGAATTCAAAGAATGAAATCTATGGGTATCAATGGAAGGTAAAAGTGAAAGGAGAAGGATTTATTTGAAGGAAAAAAAGAAGCAGAGCTCTTGCTGGGTGAGAGGGGATCCGATAGCAGGTTGCTGTCTTGGGGCTTATATAGCTTCTGGGCAGGGGCATTGACCAATATTTATGCTAATCAGGTATTGGAAAAGTGCTGTTATTGGTTAGGCATACAGTATTCTGATTGGTTATCCCTTAAGTCTGTAGCCTTCACTCAGATCTGTCCCACTTCCCTTTTTCTTCTGCCCCAGGACAAAGGAGTTGACTGGAATGTTGGGAATGTTTCTACAGGTTAATTTCATGGAATATTATTTAGAGATATTTATTTAGAGATGCTTTTCTGGGTGGGGACATATTCCCTTAACTGCTTGCCTATTTTATGATCTGTCTGTCCTATCCTGTTCAATAGAACAGGGAGAAAACTTAGGCATCCCAATGGGCAGTGCAGGAAGATGCAATAGAATTAAAGATCTTAAGATCTCCCCTCCCCCTACACCAATTTCTCATCTCAGAGGAAACACCCAGGTAAGCCTGTCAGGGATCCAGAAAATGTTCCCTGGTAGTCAAAGTATTCAGTGTAGACAGACAAATTCCTTCAAGTGTGATCTGCCTGGTAATTGCAGATATTAGTAATTCTAGTTTGTCCAGAGTTCCCTTCATTATTTCTCCTACTCTTAGCACTATGTGATTTCCTTGTCCCATAATTTCCCCTTGTTGTTACTCACCTTAAATTCCCTTTTAAAATTTTTTTTTTAGTTATAGATAGACACAATATCTTTATTTTGTTTGTTTATTTTTATGTGGTGCTGAGGATCAAACCCAGTGCCTCACATGTGCAAGGCAAGTGTTCTGCCACTGAGCCACAACCCCAGCCCCCAGTCTTACTCTTTCTAAAGGAAAATATGAGTGGAGAGGGATTTCTTTGGGCCCCAGAACAAAAACCCACCACTGCTCTGCACTCTGTGGAAAAGCATTTGGCTTCAAGTCCTTACAGCCCCTGCCCAGTGGGATAGTCTCTGGGAGGCCACACCGCAGTTGTAAATAAAGAAGAGGAAATGTAGAGTTGTCAGCATTTGAGGGGAAAGAAGGAGGGGTTAGGGAACAGCTTTTACCTTGGGTCCTGGTGTAGTGAGCTGAAGGACCACCCACTTGAGTCTGGTGCCATCTAGTGGTCCTCGGAAAGGGTTTTGAATCTAGAGTTTCATGGAATCTTATGATTTTTTTTATCATACTTATAATAATAATAACCATTCACTGGGTGCTTATGGTGTGCTTATGGCTATGATGGGTGCCTGGCATATACATCTTTACTTTATCATCAAAGCAATCCTATGCGGCAGGTATTACTATCTCAATTCTAAGCATGAGAAAATGGAGTTTCAAAAACCTTAACTACCCTGGGTCACACAAGAAGGACAAGGTAGGCTTTTACCAACTTTGCAACAAAACTACTTCAAAGAAGTTGTCTTTATTCTCTGGGTCTACTTATACTCCTACTGTTCTCTTTTTGAAAGACACAACTTATTTGTTTATTTAATAGGCAATATATTAATGGGATTTCAAATTGAAAAGACATAAAAATATACAGAGGACTGCTTCATGCCCATCATTCCCCACAGTTTTTAGGCAATCCAGCTCTAAGAGTTATGTTTATCATCTTAGAGAAATTTAATGTATATGTAAGCAGTGGTGAAATCAATATTTCTTCATATTTTCACAATAGTTCTCTAAATATACTATTGTAAATTAAAATTTTATGGTCATGTGGATTCAATTTTATGAAAGTATCATGTTTCATTTAGCCTGTCTCCTCCTGTTGATGGGTGGTCAGGTTATTGGAATTCTTTTGCCATTGTAAGCAAGAAGGGGCAGGTTGAGGCTTATGCCTCTTCTCCCCTCATGCTTTTTATTGCTTCTGATAACACCATGTCACATCCCATGTACTATGACTCCTTTGTACATTTGATATTTTAAGCTGAAGGAATCTGAGAAATGGTGGGTTCAAGAAGGGCTTTTTGATCTTGCCCACCTCCTCTGAGTCAGGTTCTAGACCCTCAGGTAAGGTGGAGGGGGAGTGAGAGGAACCCAAACAAGCAAGACTAGCTTAGCTTTTCCCAGTTTGCTAAGTTCATACTTTTGTTCCATCACAATTCCCATGACTTTCTGTTCTTCATCAAACCTACTATAAATACACTCAGGCTTAATGTCACATAAGACTTATATTAAATAAACTTGTGCTCTTTTCTCTTGAATCTGTCTTTTGTTAGTCCAATTCACAGGGCTCCCTCTAGAGAACTTCAGATAGGTAGAGAAAGCAATTTCTCCATCCCTACAGTAACAAACAACTGCCATTTAAGTAAAGGTGGTTTCCTCACTCCGGAAGAAACTGTTGTAGGTTTGGGTGGTGCTCTAGCAGCTGCCCTCAGTGATGACTCAGTTGGTTAGACTGATTTATGTTTGATTTCACCACTTCAATGCAAGGCTGTGCTGGTGCTCCCTCTCTTTCTCTCCACCCCCCAGCCTCTAAAGTCAGACAAACCATCACAGGACCCAAAGAAAAAGGTAGTTCTCTGTCTCTGTGTGATTATTTCGTGCAGCCCAGTTCACCCGGAGTGATCCTGAGTGTTTAGTCGTGGAATGCGACATTATCGGATATAAGTACAGTCACTCCTGCTCTCTTTGAGTGCCATTTGCATGCAATATCTTTTTGCACCTCTTTACTTGTAGCCTATGTATGTTCTTAAGGTTTGAGTTTCCTGTAGGAATCATATGGTTTGATTTCACTTAAAAATGCACTTAGTCTTCTATATCGTTTGATTGGATAATTTAATCTTATCTATATTTGCATTTTTTTTTACATTTCTTCAACATTTATTTGTTAACTATAATAGGATTTCTGAAGAATACTGAGAAAGGAGAAAAATATTTCCACAAATGCACCTATGCAGAATATGTTGATGTTTTGACATGATCAGGAAAATTAACCATTAATTTTTAAGCTGTAACCACTGAGCTATGTATATACAATATATACATAGCTCAGTGATAGATTTCCCTGATCCTTTGCCCCATCCCTAATGTTAGGAAACACATCAAAATGTAACAATCCTTTTGTTAAAAAATATCTTTCACCAAACACTATGGTTAATTTAAGATTTTCTTTTTTACATTTTAAATATATGTGGTTTATTGAATGCCAAGATTAAGTTCTGGTTTTAGTGTTGCTTTCAATTGTGCCCCAGCAGAGAGGGTCCAACAC